CCATGTTACATTAATGTATTTATAGATTTGGAATGTTTATATGAGAAATTCATGTTTTTCAGAACACTTTCCAAAACAAATTAGCATGTCTCTTTACATTTTAGCTGATGTGGGCGGGTTTATTGGGGATCCAGACCCAGAGCTACTTGTTCGCTGGTATCAGGCTGGTGCATACCAGCCTTTCTTCAGAGGCCACGCCAATATCGACAGCAAACGACGTGAACCATGGCTATTTGGGGATGAGAACACACGGCTCATCAGGGAGGCCATTAAAGAGCGATACACCCTTCTGCCCTACTTGTATTCACTGTTCTACCGGGCACACACTACCGCTGAACCAGTCATGAGGTAGGCAATATAAGGGAATAAATTAAAACCACTTGTATTGCATTTCATATAAAGGCCCTTCTTATGAGCCAGGAAAGGTAGTAATTGTGTCAAAGGATGCATGAGAGGGGAAAGTTAAATTCCTTTCCCTTACTTTTGTGACTTTCAATTTGAATTTTAGAAAATGAATGTATATAGGAATTGCTTTTAAAAAGAGAACAATTGGCAATATAAGGGAATAAATTAAAACCACTTGTATTGCATTTCATATAAAGGCCCTTCTTATGAGCCAGGAAAGGTAGTAATTGTGTCAAAGGATGCATGAGAGGGGAAAGTTAAATTCCTTTCCCTTACTTTTGTGACTTTCAATTTGAATTTTAGAAAATGAATGTATATAGGAATTGCTTTTAAAAAGAGAACAATTGAGCACATCACTTAAATAAACCATTCCCACATACAGTCTTAAGCCATGTCTAAACTACAGTCTTAAGCCATGTCTAAACTACAAAGATTTTTCGTGGGATTTGCATATCCTCTTTTGAAAAATCTTTGTAGTTTAAATGTAGCCATAGAAAAATACAGTAGACCCCAAGAAGAATGTTACCAATTATTCTCATCTATATCTAAATACTGCCAGTGGATCCCTAAGCAGACCTGAAAGCTTCAAAGCCTGCCTTTTCTCTTTCTATCTGGTCAATGCTTTTTTATTCAGAAATGGGGCCAATTGATTACCTACCTTGCCCAGAATTCATTTCATATAGATAATTCAAGAGTGACTGGTCAATGCTTTTTATTCAGAAATGAGGCCAATTGGTTACCTACCTTGCCCAGAGTTCATTTCATATAGATAATTCAAGAGTGAGGTGTTTGCCATTATACATTTCCTATAATCATTTTTCCTTTCGTAATGTAATATAGACATTAAATTAGTAAAGTAACTTCCATTGTGCTCCTTTCCAATATATAATGAGAGGTCTCAGCGGAGCTGTGTGTAACAGTCATGTCAGTGGAAGATAAATATTGCTAATCTCACTTGTATTTTTGTCTCTTACAGATGGCACTATAATTGCTGTCCTTTTTTTCAAATTCATCTTCACTAGTTGTATGCAAAACCCCATGTCAAGATAATAACTTGACTTGTAATAGGGCAGAAGCTTTTGGATACACCCAATTGTGAACCTGACTTGTGCATGCAGGCACCACAAGAGCCAGTGAGGACATCTGTCTACCCCTTTGCAGTATACAAATGGTCCATTTGTGTACACACTTGCAGCACCTGTCCATTCCTGGGCTTCTACCTTTCTAAAAATCAGGCCCCTATTTTGACTATATATAATAATAAATACTGTCGTGGTGATAGCAAGTCATTGGGGCATGTTCAGAAACTAAAAAGAGCCATGGAATTTTCTTGCGTGTTTTACAGGGGCAAACACAGTAAAAAATCTGCCTCGTTAGCAAGCCAATAAACAGTGGAGTTGCAGAATTCAACAGGTCAAGCAGAGATTGTTTGTGTGGGGACCCACAGAATTGCTCCCATTCTTGTCTCTAACAAGAAAGAGCTATTGTTATCATAACACTTGGTATTATAAATAAGCAAGGGAGAGTCTGGGCGTGACCAGTGATTAGCGTACCACATTACTATTCAATACAACTTAATCAGGTTTCTCAGTCCCTGATAAACAGGACCCAGGGTTGCTGTAGAACCAGTATAGTCAGCTACTGAAAAGAAGAGAGATTATCTCCCAGAAACTAGCCAGTAAAGAAGCAATATTGATGGACTCTGAAGGAAAGTCCTGTCCCTCTCTCTGCTAGAAGAAAGATTGATGCTATGTGAGTTCATGAGGAAAGGGGGGATTCCCAGGGTTGCAAAGGTCAAAACAGATGCATATGCCAAAAACAGAGAAAAAAAATCACCATACCACAGTTAGGCTACATCTACACTAGCCTGCTTGCAGAAAAGCTTATGAAAATGAAGCTTGGCGTGGACTATCGCTGCACTTCATTTGCATAATTAATGATCAGACGTTTTTGCACAAAAAAGAGCCATGTAGATGGCTATTTTTTTGCACAAAAAACCCTCTAGTGCAAGAACCGTTCTTCCTCAAAAAATGAGGCAAAATGATGTCCCCCAGCTCAAAAATGAGGAAGAACAGCTCTTGCGCAAGAGGGGGTTTATGTGCAAAAAGGAGCTGTCTACACTGTTCTTTTTTGCGCAAAAATGGCTGCTTGTTAATTATGCAAATGAAGCGCAGCGATATTCCACGCCAAGCTTCATTTGCATAAGCTTTTCCGCAAGAATGCTACAATGTAAACGTAGCCTTAGACAGAGCATACACATTTGGTAGCCTAAGGACTGTGATCTGCCTTACAAGATCTTGTGGAGGAGACTGGATTAGGTCAGCTTTCTGCTCGCAAGTAGACAGCACTGGGAAGGGCTTTAACTCTTGTTCATCGTGGAATTGTAATGATTGTATAAGAAGAGGCATTTAAGGACACAGATAAGAAATCTGTCCAATCTTCCTTGGTGGAATGGCAGTAGTTACAAAATAGGCCTTGTAGAAGAGTGGGAATGTTGAAGCTGGCAGAGGGCCCAGAGACTCCAGCTAAGACAGAGAGCAGGCCAATGAGAAAGATGACACTGACAAGACTCCCCTGTTTTCCACAGGCCTCTCTGGGTTGAGTTCCCCAAGGAACAAGAAACTTTTGGTGTGGAAGACGAATACATGCTAGGTAAGTAGACAATTTCCCAAATCCAAACATCAGCTGGTGTCTGCTATTATAGTAGCAAAAAGTATGAAAACCCCTGACAAGATGTTTAAAAGTGAATGATTTTGGGTCCCCTGCCCAGCTTGAGACATTTTAAGAATCCTGATTTCCAGAGGGTGAATGATCAACATTTTTGAAAATTTTTAAAAAGTAGAGCTGTTGATTACTAACTGTTAGCACATGCAGTTAACTCAAAAATTAATTGCAGTTTCAATTGCACTGTTAAACAATAGAATACCAATTGATTGCAAATATTTGCATTGTAACAATGATAAACAAAATAAATATTTTTCAAGTCACCTTATCCAAGTATTGTGGTGCAATCTCTTTATCATGAAAATGCAGCTTTACAAATGTAGATATTTTGTGTGTGATATAACTGCACAAAACAAAACAATGTAAAACTCTAGAGCAGGGGTGGGCAAGATTCCTCTCGCAGGTGGAATCTGGACCACTAAGCCACCAGATCTGGCCCATGGACCACCCTGCTGGGACCTTGAGTCAAACAGCAGCCATTGTTTTAAGCACAAGGCTGCTCCGTGTGCCTCTTTGCTCTAGAAGGGGAGGGAGGGTTCATGTGATCTCCCTACCCCCAGCCAATCTCTTAGCTCCTATTGGACTAAAACAACCAGTCGATTAGGAGCTGAGAGATTGGCCTTGGGGACGGGGGCAGTGCAAGCCTCTTCCCCATCCCAGAGCTGCGTCACATGGAGGGAGCAGCCTGCAGTATTAAGTGATCTGGGACTGCAGCAGGCAGGGAGCCTAGCCTGCCTTGGGGGTGCTGCACAGCTGCTGGCTGGGAAACACTTAGGTAATTGCCTCCCAGCCAAAGCCTTCCTCTGGCACCCCTGCCCTTTCCCCACCCCAGCTCCCTCCCCCAGGTCACAACTCCCTCCCAGACTTTGTACACCCTCCTATACTCCTCCCCCTAAGCCAGAATCCTCTCCTGCACCCAAACACCCTCCAGACCCTGCACCCCATTCCTCTGCTCCAGGTCACTACCCAAACCCTCTGCAGTCTGACCCTTCTCCTAGGTCATAATTCCCTCCCAGACTTTGCACCTCCTCCTAGAGTCCCTCCCCCAGGCCAGAATCCTCTCCTGCACCCATACTCCCTTCCCTTCCCTACACCCCAATCTCCTGACCCAGGTCACAATCCTCTCCTTCACCCAAACTCCCTCTCAGACCTCCCATCATCTCCAGCACCCTGGTCCCTTATCCTATGCGCCCTTCTGCACCTGACGTCCATCTGAGACCCCACACCTCCTCCACAGAAAAGTGCAGCCCTTGACCACTTTCCAAAATCTTGGAGTGGCTCTCCATCAAAAATTATTGCCCACCCCTGCTGGTAGAGCCTACGAGTCCAATCAGTCCTACTTATTATTCAACCAGTCACTAAGACAAACAAATTTGTTTATATTTATGGGAGATAATTGTGTCCGCTTCTTATTTACAATGTTACTAGAAAATGAGAACAAGTATTTGTGTGGCACTTTTGCAGCTTGTATTGCAAGGTATTTACATGTTAGATGTGCTAAACATATTCATATGCCCCTTCATGTTTTGACCAACATTCCAGAGGACATGCTTCCAGAAAGATTTAAATAAATAGTATTCCATTATTGTTTAACAGTATGGTTAATCACATGATTAATCATGATTAATTTTTAATAATGTGACTTAATAGTGATACATATTTTTTTAATCGCTTGACACCCCTACTTGAAAGGTGTGTCATATTGAGGTGAAAAAATTGAGGCACTCATCACTATTAATTGCTCTTGAACATGCTTAGTTCCAGCATATAAAACCCCAACCTTCATCAGGACTTCTACTTCAAATAACTAATTATCCAGAATTGATGGAGGGGTGGCAGTGATTTCTGATGGAATTCACCTTCTCTGTGAATATTAATAAATCATCTCTGACAGAGCTGAGTTACTTCTGGGGATAGAAAATACATCTTAAACAGCAAATTTTTAGCCTTTTGAATATTCCAAGTGTTAAAAGTTTAGAAACTTTTCTCTCACATGCCTTTGTTAGTTATACATGTTGAACACTGCACTCTCCAATCAACCTATTCAATATACTTTTCAGAGCAAGGTGTAAACATTTCCCAAGACGTGCATTTAAAAGGAATTTCTTTGCCAAATGGAATTGCCTTTTTCCTTAATTCTGTTTTTTTTTTTTTGTTTAAATATCAAAAAAATATTAATAGATTTCTCTGCCTCTCCCACTTATGTGTGCAAGCACCTTAACCTGTACGACCCCAGATTTTATCCCTTGTGAAGGGAGGAACATTTTTGTGAGATTACAGTATTAAAATATTGGTAACGCAGTTTTGAATTGTTCTGGTATTTAGCATTGCTTAGTCACAACTCTTAAAATGAGTGCTATTTTCAAAAGCACCTAAAACAAATAAGACACCCCCCCTTACCTAACTACCTAAGGGTATGTCTACACTAGCCCTCTAGATTGATCTAGGGAGGCTAATGAGGGCGACCAGAATTGGAAATCAAGCCTGGGATTTAAATATCCTGCGCTTGATTTGCATGTTCCCAGCCGGTCGCCATTTAGAAAGTGACTAGCCCGAAGTAACTGCCCGCGTCTACACACGGCAGTGAAACGGGATTCCGATTTAAAGCCCCTAATTCAAATTAGCTGGTAAACCTCATTACAGGAGGAATACCAGCTAATTCGAGTTAGGGCTTTAAATCGGAATCCCGTTTCACTGCCGTGTGTAGATGCGGGCAGTTACTTCGGGCTAGTCAATTTCTAAAATGGCGACCGGCTGGGAACATGCAAATCAAGCACGAGATATTTAAATCCCAGGCTTGATTTGCAATTCCGGTCGCCCTCATTAGCCTGCCTAGATTGATGTAGGGGGCTAGTGTAGATGTACCCTAACTCCCACTGCCTTTAAAAGAGATGTGAGCATCTCATTCCATTAGATGCTTTTGAAAATCGCATCCAGGGAGTCTGCAATCTTCAACCTTAAATACTATAGCCCCACAATTGAATCTTTAGATAATGGCAAAACAGTTACACAAGAGCTATGTATTAGTATCTTCTACTGCATTTTTAATTAGTAGATCTCAAAATGCTTTCTTTACAATGGCAGTTAGTATCATTACCCCCTTTTTACAGATGAGCCCCAGAAAGGTGAAGAGACTTGTCTAAGGTCACCTAGCAGGACAATAGCCGAGCCAGGAACAGAGTCAATGCACTATCCACAGGCAATGCACCATGTTCTCATTTCTTTTTGTATTTCTTATTCCAGGAAATGCTTTACTGGTGCATCCAGTCGCTGAACAAGAGATCACTACCATGAACATTTTACTGCCAGGGTCTGATGAGGTAAGAGTAATTAAGAACTAACTCTGATGTTTGAATCAAAGAAAGTGAATTAGCTCCATTCTCAGAAGTCGTCTTCTATCCCAGCATAACCAGTAAGTGACAGTGCTATTAGCAGGAACTAGGGACGTTAGCAGCTAGTTGGCTAGCCGTTTAACCAATAAGTGGTTGCTTATCACTTAACAGCCTATGGGAAGCCCTGAACCTCAGTCCTCCTTCTCCCTTCCCCTCACCCCGTGGAGCTGGAGTGCCAGAGGAGTGAGGTGTCACAGTCAGGGGCCACATCAGGTGAGGTTTGGGGGTTGTTGGAGGGTTTTTTTTATTCTCACTTGTGTAGTCCCCAACTGATTTTTCTGTGAGTCAGTGGTCCCCCCCGATCAAAAAAAGGTTCCCCACTCCTATCATAAATAAAGGCAATGTTGAAACCATTTGTGTTGGACTTAATAATGTACTTGATTTAAAATGAAGTTTGGTAATCTTACATGGAAACGTCAAAATGCTTAATCTATATAATAATTTAATATTTCCTTCCTTGCTGCTTAAATTAAACCATTTTCCCTAGCTGCAGCATTAGCAAAATGGCTCGGGCATAATTCTATAATTAACGACGAGGTTCCATTAGCAACTGGTGGTCCACAGAAAGGTTTACATTGAGCCAAGTGGGCCATGGGCCAAAAAGTTTGAGAACCACTGCTTTACAACATATATATTTCCTTAGCCAAATATAAGTTAAATGTAATTCTTTAATTTTATACTTCTCCTACACCTCTGCAACTCACTAGCTGACTTAAGTTGTCTGCTTAGTAATTTAATTTCCTTTTCTTAGGGTTAATTTCTCATTTATGTGACAGGAAGAGGTCAAATGTTGGAACAGAGGATAGAACACTTGAGTTAAATCTGGGGGGAAAGACATGGGGGATGGATGGTAGAAGAATGATACAAGGAGAGGTACTGAAATATTTTTTTTCTTTTAACTTTGCTGTGTGCCTCACACTGCGATCACTTTGCTTGTGAGTTTTATTCTTTTCACCCACCAATTTTCCCGACTGCATGCTCTTCAGAGCAGGTATTGTCATTTCAGCAACTAACACATTTTGGCCACTACCTCAGCCAAAATAATAATTCAAGTACTGCAGTGCAGGCTGTTCCATAACTAGATGTCATCGATAAGCACAGCAAACTTTCTGATACACTTATAAAAGGTCAGTACCTCTCTGGAAAAAAAAGTTGTTCTTCCACATTAAGGCATTGCAATGTGCTTCTACATAGAAGACTTGATTTCAGAATTAGAAGTTGCTGAGGTGGTACTTTGGGAAGAGATTTCTTCAGATTCCATGGCTGAGTACTGACCACATTTTTCTCGGCATCTCAAGTCATTAGATTTGCCAGATGCTCTTTGAATCAGCTCTGATGAATGCAACTCATTGCACTGAGTAGAAGCTTGAGATCTAATTTTGGAAGCAGATGAAAAAAAAATACAAGGAGAAAAGGAGAGGCGAGAATAGCCTTGAGTATGAAAGGTGAAATAAAAGCCTGTGGACTTCTGGAATCACTTGGCTTAAGATAAGGCAGAGTATAGAAATATGGACAAGATTGCTTAGGGTCTCATTCAGGAAGTTTTAATGAACACTATTTTTTAGTTAAGATTTGTATAGGAATTCACTGCCTACCATGGCTGTAACTGCTAATCCTGTCAGAGACTATGGTGCAGAGGTACACGGGACTTTGTATGGTAATTTTCAATGACTAACTTTTAGCAGCATAGTTTGGAACATCCCTATAAATTCAGTCAGTTATGGACATCTAAGTTGCAGGTTTTTTGATTGCCTTGTTTTAATTCCCAGATAATAGAGAAAAGTCCACACTGACCTGTTTACAGTATTTACTCGACAGATAACATCAGAAACTGAATGCCCTTACCCTGGGAGCATGATCACTCAAAGAGAATGTGAGAATCACATGCTGTTGTGGGGGCCTGAAAATGTATTTGGCTTTTGGTGCACTAGAAGGTTTCAGTTGTCAGACCCGCCTAACTGTAACTCTTCACATGTACTAAACGCTGGTCTGAAAAGCCCTGTCATTTATCATAAAAAGAATTTTGGTTGTGAACAAATTCATAAGAAATAGACTGTATGTTCCTGTTGTCTCTTATACTCATTCTAAAGGCCCTAAAGCCAAAGATATTTGACCCATAGCACGGACTTTAGAACACAAGCTGGAGGCCTGCAGAAAATTTAGATTATGTTCAGGTAAAAATGTGCTTGCACTGAATTTGTTTCTCAGAAAGTATTTTTTAAAAGTTTCATTTTGTAAACGACACCGTTGCTTAGCACCTCCAACAGCTTTGAAATCTATTAGAGCAAATGCAAGTTCTAGAAATGATCATTCTCTATTTTGTGTATCTGTGCGGTGCACATTTGTTAAGTCTCTCACAAAGGTTATTTGATTCAGCACGCTAAATGTGATTGCTTGCATTACAAGAATACAGTAAAAGACAGTGATATCCAGAGATAAAATCACAAAGCAAATGTTCCCGCAGAGGTATTATATCCTTCCATGATATATATCTTATGTTTGTTTCTTCTGCCTTTTCCTTGATGTAGGTTTGGTATGACTTCAGAAGATTTAGACGACAGGACTGTCCAGGCACTCTGAAGATACCAGTAACACTAGAGAGTGTACGCTTCTGTCTTGTAATACAGCTTTCATTAGGTTGACAGATTAAAATAGATTTTCTCTCAAACACTCATAAATCAGTATAGTGGTATTATGCTACAGCCCAGCAAGGAGAATTAAAGTAGTTTCTATGGAGAGAGAAAAGAATACTGTCTCAACTTGAGGTTCAAACTAAGAAACAGCAAAGTGTCATATGAGCCCCGCAGGCTCATGTAGACATTGAAGGGTCTAACTATGGCAGAAGAGAACTCCACAGTGAACTCCCTTCCACCTCCAAGTTACCTACTATTTAGAAGGAGCAGTTAGTAGAAATGCTGAAAGTGCAGAGAGTATCTCAACAGTGTTTGTAGTGAAGGAGGGGTTCATTGGAACAGCCTCACATTTCTAGGTGGGACTTCTGACTGTTTACTACTACAGGCAGTCCTCGGGTTACGTACAAGATAGGGACTGTAGATTTGTTCTTAAGTTGAATTTGTACGTAAGTCGGAACTGGTACATATTGTAGGGGAAACTCTAGCCAAACATTTCTCCAGAGCTCAGTTTTATTCTCCCACACCTCACTTCCCTCAGTCCTTTATTCTCAAGATGAGGTGTCTGCTGAGAAAAGCCGCTCCACGTCTCCCTGGTCTGCTGGGGGGGGGGGGCGGCGCACGTCTCCCTGGTCTGCTGGGATGTTTATCTGCAGGCTTCTTTCGAAAGAGACTCTTTCGAAAGCATCTTTCGAAAGAGCCTCTTTCGAAAGATCGCGTCTAGACTGCAGGCGGATCTTTCGAAAGAGAAATCCGCTTTTTCGAAAGAGAGCACCCAGCGAGTCTGGATGCTCTCTTTCGAAGACGGCCTCTTTACATTGAAGAACGCCTTCTTTCGAAAGAGGAACTTTCGAAAGAAGGCGTTCTTCCTCGTGAAACGAGGTTTACCGCCATCGAAAGAAAAGCCGCGTTCTTTCGAAATAGTTTCGAAAGAACGCGGCTTGAGTCTGGACGCAGGGGAAGTTTTTTCGGGAAAAGGCTACTTTTCCCGAAAAAACCCCTGAGTCTGGACACGGCCCCTGTTTGTAAGTAAGGATCCGATGTAAGTCGGATCCATGTAACCCGGGGACTGCCTGTACATGAATGGCAGCACTGGACTGCAAGTGCCCATTATCAACGTAAGGTATAGCAATTCTTGTACTACAGGAGAGAAGGGGCTGTCTTTGTCAGTACATGTCCTTCATTCAGATGAGCTCTGTTACACTATGGCCCCAATATATGCTGTTCTTTTAGAAGACAGCCACCACATGGGTAGGCACTTTCAACAAATGCTGCTGAGATGATTTTGAGACAGGAAAAGCATAGGGTAAGATGACTTGTAAGCAGAATAGAGTTAATTTATCAACATGCTGTGTGCTGGAATTCCCTGTGGGTGATTAAAAAAAATGCAGTTGTTTCTTAATAAACTAAAATAAAATTACTAGAGATTAGCAGTAAGATCTCCACACTTGAACTGTTCTACCTGTTTTTGCTATTGACAGATTCCAGTGTTCCAGCGAGGAGGGAGTGTGGTGCCTCTTAAGACCAAAGTGGGAAGATCCACTGAATGGATGACAGATATTTCTTACGAACTCCGTGTTGCTCTGGACTCCAAGGTATTCCAGGATTACATGTAGTTTACACCTATCTTTTTATCTCTTCTTCTTTTCACTTTTGGACTCCTGTCCCACTCCTCCTTGCTTTCTGCAGCCTCTTCCTCTAGCATCAGGGCCTGCTTTATAAGGCACAAAAGGTATCCTTCTGCTTGTTCAACCAACACAGTGTGGTCCTTGTCTATACATCAGCTAGAAGAAGAGCCAGTCTCCATCAGATTGCTATGGAGTGACTTGGCCCTCTTCTCACTTGCCTAGGTTCCACTCCTTATGCTGGGGTTCATGCCAGAGCACCCAAACTGTTCATTCTGCGAGACTGTAGGATTTCTGCCCAAATAGAGCATTTCCTCACCTTCCCTTTGCCCTTCCTCTTCTCAGCCACTCCCCAGCAGTATGGAGAAAGGAGAAGAGTGGTGGATTGCTTCAGGCCACAAACTTCCTCTCAGTTTCAGAGAAAATGAAATCAGCAACAGTCCTATTAAACACAAGTCAACAGTGGAAAATACTGCACAGCCCCCCCCCCCCCAGAATGCACTTTAAATAATGCTAGATTGTTCTTCAAGGAGATGTTTTAGCCTCCCAGAGAAGATAAGATTTCTAACTGTTGACCTCAGCATATAATGATGCTTATTTTCAGTTTCACTGTCCAGTGCTTAGGCTTCTGTTAACTTTGTTCAATATCTGATGTGTTCCATAGGACTTTGCAGTAGGTGAGCTCTATCTAGATGATGGGCATTCATTTCACTACCTCCAGAAGAAGCAATTCCTGCACAGGAAATTCACATTCCACAAGAAAGTTTTCTCTTCCAGGTAATAGCAGTTCTTGCAGGTAAAACCCCCATAAAAGGAAATCTGTTTTATAATTCATTTTACTTAGCAACAAATGTGCAAGAGTTACTCTCTTCCATTGCTCAAGAACCCTCCAGTGATAGAGAGGTTCGTTTGCCAAGCTGGAGAAGTGAGTGTTGCTCTTCATGGTCCCATTGTGCCTGTATCTGGAATGCTGAGTGCAGGTCTGGTTCACTCTGTTTAGGAATGATACAGATTTACTAAATTAGATCTAATTAAGGGCAGCAACAAGGATTACTAAACTGAGAGCTTTTCAAAGAGAGGACAGATTTAGACGGATACACTCATTGTATGAATAGTTTCAGGGTAATCACATCAATAAAGGCTATGTTCTGAGATTACATGTAGAGGTAAGACAAAAGAGCAATACTTACTAGCAATGAAGCCAAGGAAGGAAATGCTGAAACATAGTCAGAAAGTGTATGTCAATAGAAGAGTAGCCTAGAAAAATAAAAAGGGTAGTCAAGCATGCTAAATACCAAAAATATCCACAGCTGCTTGTAAGGAGGCAAATGTCTCAAATATGTCACTCCCAGACTTCCACTAACTGTACTGTAGGCTACAGAGGTTGAACCTCTGTGGTCTGAGACTTTCTGGTTTGGCAACATCTGTGGTGTTAGAGTGCCCCAGCACAGAGGTTGCCGGTGGCTGGGAGCAGAGCCGTCTGGTGGGACCAGTGAGGCCCATGGGACTCCAGAGCCTGCAGTTGGCCAGACTAGGAAGCCAGTGGGGGTGCCAGAGTACATGAGGCGGGGCAGAGTGCAGAGCTGGTGTGGTTGCTGGAGTCTGCAGGGCCGGGGAGAGAGGGGGGCAGAGAGCCTGCAGCTAACGGGGCCAAGAAGCAGGGCGGGGCTCCAGAGCTCACAGCTAGCAGGGCTGCAAGCACCCGCAGGGCCGCTGCCAAAGGGGGTCAGGGTAGCAGTGGCAGGTAGCTGAGGAGAGGAATCCAGTGGAGA